TAAAAACAGCGCTCACGCCCCTCTGGTGCTATACGTTACTTGTAGCCCGTCGACATCATAAAGCGATCTATATCTCAATTACAACGGCGATACAAACCTCAAATCGAAAAGTAGGAATTCGTGGCAGACATAGGCAGAATAGCCAATAACCCTTGGACAAATCTGAGTATCTAACCCAATAACGCTTAGCGATAGTGAGTTGGATTTATCAAACGATGACATTCTTACAATTTAGAAGTCGTTCGTGAGCACAGTGATGTTTTGTTAGATAAAAAAAATCCCTCCAATTTATTGAACATAAAAACTATGTCATTGTGATGCAATTTCGAATTTAATTAATCGCGAATTAAGAAAAAATAGACAAATACAAATTTAACGAATTGTTTTTCTAAGATACTATCCGAAATAAGTGATTCACGTAATAAATATTAATTTAGCTTGAACGTTACTAAGATATTCCTGCCCCACAAGAAAAGAACTATAACATAGTACTTGAGTGTAATTCAAACGTGCCCGTCATCAATATGTTTACATTTAGGTTTTAAATTATATTTACAGTAAACACATTACCTACTACTTTTCAGACCATAGATAATACACTTCATTGCGGACCTTAGTCTTGTTAGGTTTTTTTTGGTATTGCTGTTCATGCGTTTTGCGTTTATCCCGTAGGTACATGCCAGGTACATGTTACGCAAAATGATTCTATAGACATCGTAAAATAAACGCCTAGAGACCCGTGAATCGAATCTCAACTGAATTGTGTATAGATTTAATTAGCGTGCATCATTAAATTGAACATCGCCTCAAAGAATCTATTTGATCAGATAATTAACACAATCACGAATTTGTGAATTCGCATCGGTAAATTTAACCTTTTTTTTAAAATGCAAAACTCCATCGTCTCGCCTAGAATGTAGTTAAATTTATTATTCAAAGACTGCGAATTCTCGTTAACGTTTGTATATTTGTAAATACATACATATAACATCTTAAACGTTACGTATAGAGCTTAAAAAAACATAAAACATTGTAGCACGTATCTTGGGCCGAACGCTGTGGTCTCTGGTAGGAGAGTCACGAAGGAATAATGATAGCACGAACCAACAGCACGTTTTAAATTCTTTCATGTTCGTTTTATGACCGTTTGCGTGATTTAAAAATCCGAAAGATTCAAGCGGAATTTCAATAAAAAATGATACGTACTCAAAAGAATTATGTCTAGATTTCATTTCAGAACTCGGGTTTTAATTGAATGTATCTGCATTCTAAATTTTAAAAAGTCGTCAAACTATGGAGTTTTTACCCTTTACTGTCTCTTTGTCGGAGTGTCTTGCATCAAAGATGTCTTAATTGACACACAAAATTCCATGTGCAGGAAGGACCATTATTCTATTATAGTTCGAAGGCCACAAAAAACGGGACATCAATTCTCCTTGATCGCCTGTCTGTCAGAGAGAGATTATATACCTACTAGAAACAATGGTCCCCAATAGCCAAACTATTATTCCTGACTAGTTTTTGCCCACAGCTTCGCCTGCGTTGACTACTATACCCGCGGAGATTAGTGTTCATTGGGATCACATTGAGATTGAGTGATGGGTGGCATATTCTTTCAAAACTCCTATTTTCTGGGCCGAATTTTATCACAATTTAGTAGTTTATGTAGAAAATGTTACAAATAGTTTACAATTTACAATATTAGTATGAACGAAATATAGCACCTAATAACTGAAAATGGTATGCTAATGGTCTAAAATACATATGTATAGCAAAACAGACACAACTCATTTTTGTCAATCAAATCAATCAAAACTTTTATATATACTACTAAGAAGCCTAACAAAAAAATGTCAAATTTCGTAATATGTTCCTAGTTCTTCAACAATTTATTTATGAAAATAAATAAAAAAGGAATGTGACACATTTAAAAAAAACCGGAATAATTTTGTTTGGAAAAGATGCGACTCCTATTTCTTCATAAGCTTACACTTGCCATGAATAGTAAATTTAAGCAACACGCCTATTACACGAGGATGCTTACCTACCCGCTCTCGAGCTAATTATTTCTTCTCTGCAAAGGCATTGAGAGCAGTTCATAATCATTCCATAATTAATTTCCATTTCATAAAAAAAAATGGCTTCAGTCTTCATAACGAAAGACGACCTTTTTCGTAGTCAAATTGTTCTTCTGCAATTGTTCTTCTGCTACTTTTCATAAGTATGGCAAAGTATCAAAGTCGTCGTGGCCTAAAGGATAAAACGTCCGGTGCATTCGTATCTAGCGATGCAACGGTGTTCGAATCCCACAGACTGGTATAATTTTTTTCAATGAAATACGTACTTACATAACAAATGTTCACGATTGACTTCCACCGTGAAGGAATAACATCGTGTAATAAAAATCAAGCCCGCAAAATTATAATTTGCGTAATTACTGGTGGTAGGACCTCTTGTGAGTCCGTGCGGATAGGTACCACCACCCTGCCTATTTCTGCCGTGAAGCAGTAATGCGTTTCAATTTGACGGGTGGGGCAGCCGTTGTAGTTGTAACTATACTGAGACCTTGGAACTTATATCTCAAGGTGTGTGGCGCATTTACGTTGTAGATGTCTATGGGCTTCAGTAACCACTTAACACCAGGTGAGCTGTGAGCTCGTCCAACCATCCAAACAATAGAAAAAAAAGAAGTTGAGTTCTTGCGACCTGTGGATAAGGCCAGTATGTAGCTATGTTTCACTTCCCACATTTTCCCAATTCACATATTGTAAACAAATAATAAATCACCGCTATTGTTTGATAAATAGATAAGTACCCATTTCATATTTTTCCATTTAATTTCGTTCCAATTGATTAGTCTCAAATTTATTAAATACTTACATCTCATTTCACCTCAATTCATAAGTTATATTGTAACAGAATCTAAGAAGTAAATAAAAGACTTATTTTAAAAGTCTTGCTCAGAGGCCATAAAATCTTCAAAAAAAGACACTATTGCAATTTCGCACATTGAGTAATTTATGCTTGATCTCTGTAAATAGTCACCATTTTAGTGAAAGTTCATTTCATTCCATTTCATTTCGTTTCATTAGGCGGTAGGCAGAGGCTTGGTTCTGCCCCTGGCATTGCTGAAGTTCATGGGCGATGGTAACCACTCACCATCAGGTGGGCCGTATGATTGTCTGCCTACAAGGGTAATAAAAAATTTCATCACAATTGATTTTAGTCCCAAATAACTTAAAATCACTTAATTTCATCTATATCAAATTTCACTACAAATTATTTTTCTCAAAACAGATTTTATAAAGATTAGGCTGTGTGGTGTGATGCCTTCGTCTTTTCTTTTGGAAAATGTAACTACTGCTCATAGATAGGTAATAGACTATATAAGATAAGTGTTGCCAACTCAGTAGAATTTCCACTACATCAGGTGGCTTAGACACCTTTTAGCGGACAAAATTTGATTTTAGTGGCTAGTGGTTTTTTTAGTAGCTTTCACTGCTTCAGTCAATGGTGAGGTACGAAACTAAGCCATTAGCATAATTTACATATTAATTCAGAAATCTAGAACTCATTGATAATTAAACATATGACTGGTTCAGCCGTTCTTCGTCGAGGTAAGCTGCCTACATAAAAACACAGATCAATATATCATAGAACATGATGACCATGATTTGTTAAAAATTATAGAATCTTGTCAAACTAGACTCAGATTTTTATAGGCTGCAGTTGCACACATTTACACATAACGGTTGGAGCTGAAATCACACCTCAATGTCACCAAATTAAAAGAAAAATGTTACACAGCAGAATTGCTGCATGGAATGTATTCAGATGACGTCAATTCATTACGCGTGACATTGCATTTATTATGTATCCAATTCTTACTGATTAACAATGTTAACAGAGTTAATAAATTATTTGAATCAAAAGAAACAGATCATTCAAAACTATATTATGAATTGATAAATTTGATTGATACATTGTTTTTCTTGAAACGAGGCTTGTGGAGAGTATTAAGCGGTAGGCAGCGGCTAGGCTCTGCCCCTGGCATTGCTGAAGTCCATGGGCGACGGTAACCACTCACCATCAGGTGAAACACAGAAACCGAATAAATTTAAATTTGCTATTTTCAATTCTCACTGTCCGTGCTGGTTTAAATTAGTTTAAAACGCGAAGGGAAATGCTGCAATAACTACATACTACCAAATAACGTAGTACCAAAAATTGGAACTCAAGAAATTTATTCGTAGATGATCCGATTCTTCCGAAGATGATTACCATTTTTGAGTACTTTACGTACTATCTGCCTATAGTAAAACATGGTAGTGTTTTTGTGGTGGTTTGAGGGTTCGCTAAATTTGGTGGTTTCTGGTGGGTTTTTAGTACGTTTCGATACAGTAATTTGTGGATTCGTTAAAATAAAGCTGGCAGCTATTTAAGATTTTTATAGTACGGTGGACTTTTTGGCGGGAACGCGAGGAGTGAAGTTGTGTGATTTGTTTTATTTTGTCTATTTAGTGTTTCTTCAGGCTTAAATGTGTAATAATGGTGGTTTATTAACTGTTTAATATCTGTGAAATTGCACAAATGTGGGAAAATGAAACAAAGCCACTGGACGTAACTTCTCGGGATCCTCCAAAAAGTCCACTGAAAAAATCTTAGTAAATGACCACCATTTTACTGAGATTATATTTCATCCCATATCATCTCATTTCATTTCATTTAATTTCATCCCAGTTGATCAATGTCTCAAATTAATCATTTTCATTTCATTTCACTCCATAATATCATTTTTATATAAATTAAATATAATTTAATATAAATTAAATTTAATATAAAAAATATATTTTAATATTAATATAAATTAAAATAAGACATGATTTAAAAGTCTCAGAAACCAGGTCATAAAATCTTGAATAATCTGTGCTTGACGCTTGACAGTATGGGTTTCGATTCGAATTTCGAAAATTTAAAAATTTAAAAAGTTCACCTCTAAACCCACCACCTACGATATCTTTTTATGAAATTTCAAGAAATAATAAGAGTTTATAGAAATGTCTGAAATCATGTTACGACCAGAAATCACTAGATTAGTTCCCGCTTCTATAGTGAATAATGTCTCAAGTTTCGTATTTTACGACAATCATCCGCGCGACCAAAAACTTATTGATATCGTAATATGCAGCAATTCCGGAGAAATCCAAGAGTTTTATCAAAGAGACTTAATTTGTTCTTTGTTACTTGATAACACATCAGGACCTTATAGCATTAAAATGATGAGAAACCCAGAAGCTGACTTATTTTACTTGGTACAAACTAGAGAAGATTTTTTCATTTTATCCCGTAAAGAAACTATAAAAGTAGTCAAAAGAATATCCAACGTCGAGAAATATGAAATTGATGATACCAAATGTACTGGTAGAATACAATTAAAAGTTTATTATAAAGATGATGCTATTCCTTTGGTATTTAATGACACTTTAGCAATTATTGAAGAAATCACTACAATGGTTGAAGAAGATGAATCGCCCATGCTCGTAGTAGAGTTGCAGAGTAAATTATCTGAGGCAAAATATAATTTAGAGTGCAATGAGAATACTTATCGAGAGCTGGTAAATCTACGTCAAATGGCCTCATATTCAATTTACCAGAAAAATCAGGGTATCAGTGATAATCCACAACCAAAATGTGTAAAAGAGGTGAGGAGAATTTAAAGTATTATTTCATGTTTAATAATATCGACATTTGAAGGGCAAACGTGACTAAGTGACAATAACTGCTTTATACATAAATGATAGGCAATAACCGTATTTGATGCGCAAAAAAAATTATTTCTAGGTCTATTAAAATCATTTCAATCCTACAACTAGCTTTGTTAAAATATAACTTTTTTCAGGTATTTCAACTTTAAATTAGTATACTGTAAAGTTAACGCATGATTGCTTAGTCATGTTTGCCTTTCAAGCGTTGATATGTTTGTTTATTTATTTATTTCATAGATTCAATTGTTTCTCTTCTCTACTTTCAGATGAGCGAGTTCAAGTTGAAATTGAAGTCACCATGGGTGAAGTACTGTAATAAAAAAGTTGTTATAGCCATTGATACTTCAAATCATTATCATGAGTAAGTATTCAAATTAATCGTCAAGATAATTTAAAAAAAGTATGTAGCATTTCGGAAAGTATTGACTTAGAGTTCAGTTTCAAAGTTTTTTGTTATAGATCTGTCAATCTCCAAAGAGAGTAGTTCAATAAATAACTATTTAATACAATTAATGATAGTCTCACATTTTTTTGTTAACAAATACTAGTAGCCAATTTAATTAGTAGTTTATTGGATTGTGGCATTGTTAGCCCTTATGAGAAGATAGAACATTCTCCTCATTTATGCTGCGAAGCCCTCATATGTTCTTGTTTGAATAGATATTATACATTAGAATAGAAGTTGATCTTGTGTCAGTGCTAAAATATTCCATTATTGTGTTTTTTAATGGTATACTGGAGATTTAACAGCCTCACCAACTGCGAACAAAACATCAAAAACAAAAAAAATACTTTAATTTTGTTATATTCAGTAATTGTATATTAATTATATAAGATGATTGGGGACTGTTTTTTTTTCATCAGAACCAAATATACTCTATTTTTAGGAATGATAACTCGAAACATAATTATTTTGACTATTAGGATACCAATACCAATTGAAGAAATGCAAAGTGCAATTCTGCAGCATGGATTTATATTTCAATATTTTTTAATTAGTTTACATTTTAAGTCTTTACTTGTATTTTACAGAGATGTGGAGGAACTTCACCTACTTTTGAACAACAATTGTTCATCACTAACATACACAACAAAATTATTTAAAAAATACCACAAACCACCTTATTGGATTGAGAAAAAGAAAAATATGATGGAACCAAATTCAAAAATCACAATCGTCGTGATTATAGAATTTGATGAGTTGTTTAATACAAGTTTCAGTAAAGTTGAGTTGGATGGTGTTGTAGCTTTTAAGAAAAATGGAAAAGAGTACCTTGTGCCTTTTGATCATGTTGTGATATCCTCTATGGATGCTATGGGAGAGAATTTTGATGTATTACCCAGTGATTTTAGTAAGTTGTGACATTTTGTTACCAAAGCAGGTACACTTACATGACTGCATTAGATGTGACTTTATTAAGGAATCTGCAAGAAAGTACTATGTCTAATCGCAAGACTTCAATTATAACACAATCATGAGAGTATAAATTATTCCCCGAAAATGGAATGTGTATTAAACAGTAGATAATGCTATTGAAGATAGGTAAAACTACTTTTGCTTTTTTAACGTCTCAATACCGAACATCCTGTTATGGTCTAACTTATGGCAACTATGCTTTATAAATAAGTAAAGGCAATAAAGTAAAAAATATTAGACCTAGAACCTTTATTCAATACCATTGATACTTTTACGTCACGTTTCTAGGTGGGTGGCGATTTTCACATTGCAATATCTATGAAAACAATAAAAAAAAACAAAAATGTAGTACTATGTCGTTATTTATAAATACTATGAAATAAATTGTAGTCTTTTTGGTACATATTTTTATAAACGTATTCAATGTAATGCAATTAAAACTTTTACCGCTGACCGTCGTCAGTGATCACGAAAACTGTAAAGTATTTGAAACATCGGAAATAATATGTATAATGACATTAAAAAACACGAGATTAAACCGTAAAAGTAATTCTAATCATGTCTACAACAAGCGAATATCAAAATACTATTTTTAGTGTAGTTTAGATACGAGTTTAAAATATCTTTATATATTTTTAGATTACACTGAACATAATGCGAATGTTGATGATTGTTTTTCAGCTGACCAACACAGTGTTTTGGCTGCAATAACTAGTACAGTAAAAACGGATCTTATTCTAAGACTTATAAAAGCTGAAATAAGGCAAGATTTTCTAAAATCACTAAAAGCAATTTTGTGCGACTATTTACAAATGGAAACAATTCCTAAAATGGATAATGTTTTGATTCATAAAAGATCTCCATATCATAAGTTGAATGGTATAATCATTGTTTTCAATGATAAATACACACTTGAAGAAGTGAGATTTGATGTCACAGTTTATAGCAGGTGAGTCTGTTAAAAGCATACCATGTCAAAAAAAATATCAAAAAAAGTTCTTTAGACAGTTGGGTGAGCTCACAGCACATCTGATGTTAAATAATTATTGGAGTTAATAGTTCTTGAAATATCAGGTCAATCTGAAAACTTGATAGCTTTGCCAAACATAGATTGTAATATTTACCCAGTATAATATATTTAAAATAAATAATATATTCAGGTGATATATTATTCTATTATATTCATATCATGATATTTTTTATTTCAGGACACCTTCACAAGTTTTGGCTCTAATACGCTACATTTATGACGCTGTTCCCTTCAAAATACTCATTACGACGGCAGACCAGAAAGTCACTGCGAAACTAGATGAATTTTCTTCATACAATGATACTCTTGAAAGTCCATCAACGGTGAACAATATAGAGTATGCATCATCAATACTTGATAGGACCAGCTTAGTGTTAGAATATCTAGATTGTTCGATGATAAAAATGAATGAGAGCAAAGATCCGACTGTGAGGGACAAGATCGGTAAGGTAATTGATTTGCTTGCCTGTGGCCAGACTGATTATAATAAGTTTAGAGCGAAAATGTCAGAACTAGGAGCGAAAGGTGTTATAAAAATGTTGGGGGATGATGATAATTCTGACAACGAAATCGAAGTGAACAGTGTTTGATCAAAAACATTCATTACAGTCAATATGTGTCTGAGTATTTTTTTAAATGGTTTTTTACCTATAGAGTACAATGTGAATGTGACCACCTACTTTGAGACATGAGGTCGAAATCTCAATTACATTGTATATAGGTACTTTATAAAATATCAATTAAGAACAAAACGGCACCTGGTTGTGCAGGCTTAAGCTATAGTTGCATTGCCGTAACTGCTATTCCCCCCTTCAGATAAGCGTGCTAAGTGCGAGTTTTTTAACTTCTCGATCGCGTAAAAGTATATTGAAATTTGTATGGAGTTAGAACAGCGCCCCTAGCGGCAAACGAAGGAACGAACCCGCACTTTTTTTTTTCCTACCTAAGCTGATAGACTTGAGAGGCTATTTCAGCGTAACCTTAACTAGTAGGTGAGCTCACGGGGCTCAAACCTGACGACGTTGCTAACACGAACCCTAGCAAGAGCAGTGCTTCGCAGAATCTCTACCACCGGATCAGAAACGCGACCCACTGACAAGATCCGGCGATAAACTCAGTACAAACTCGCACTAAGCACGTATGATTGTCTCGCAACCGAACTATGAGGAACAAATAGGCAATGCGTTTTTGTAATATTAAGGTCTGTATGTTTTTTTTTAATAAAATTGTTAATGTCTGTGATATTAAAGCAATATGAAATTAGTTAAGTTTAAAAATAAAACGAATTTTCTTAACATTATAGTATATTTTATTTCTAAACAATATCAGTCACCTTCTTAAAATTCTTAAAACTATATTTAACGAAAATAAATTGACAAAACAAACACAAATAAGATTTTTATAGTTTGGTATACTTAATAAATAAAAAATTCGATGCATTTCAGTTTTAAGATATTTTTTTTATTTTCATCTATATACATATAAATATTTTTAATGAATTAATATTTACAGTAGTCTGTCGTAAAATTAATATTTTATCGACAAGATTATTTTTTTTCCTATACCGGTAGCCTTAAAGGAAGGCTATGCGAGCGTTACCGAACGAATAGGTGAGCTCACGGGGCTCTAACCTGTGTCACAAAGTATACACGAGTTTTTTAACGTTATCGATAGCGTAAAAGTTAACTCAAATTTGTATGGTGTTGGAACGTTTACCTGCGTTTTTCGCTAGGGGCGCTGCATACAAATTTGAGTTAACTTTATCGAAAATGTTGAGAAACTTGCACTAAACACACTAGTGTCGATTATTTTAGGGACAATATAATATACTATTATAAAACAGCAAAAATGAACTTTCGCGAAATGTTTTGGAAGTAAGAAATGTTTTCAAATATTTAAAACATAATTTTTATAGTGTACATTTTTAAATACAAATGGGTGCCATTTACTCGATGTCAATGTTAATGTCATGCTAATTATTACGCTAGGGTAATTTAGATGACGTTGTAGTTAAAAACGACGCATGTTCTGCAAAACGAAATTGGTGATCATCAAAATGCATTGGACCCGATTGATAGTGTATCAAACGTGTGAAAATAAAACCAATTTTCTGTGTGCTTAGTGGAGTTTTTTAACGCTCTCTATAGCGTAAAATTTAATTCAAATTTGTATGCAGATATAGATCAGCGCCCCTAGCGGCAAACGTTCCAACTGCATACAAATTTGAATTAACTTTTACGCTATCGAGAGCGTTAAAAAAACTCGTACTAAGCACACAGAAAATTGGTTTTATTTTCACACTTTTGTTACACTACCAATCGGGTCCAATGCATTTTGAGGATCACCAATTTTGTTTTGCAAAACATGCGTCGTTTTAACTACAACGTCATCTAAATTACCCTAGCTTAATAATTAGCATGACATTAACGTTGACATCGAGTAAATGGCCCCCATTGGTCATTAGTATTTATAAATGTATACTATAACAATTATGTTTTAAATTTTTAAGACGTATAACATCGGATACTTTTAAAAGTGTTTTAGTTATTTATTCTGGTGTTAAATCAGGTGTATTTTTAGTGTTTTTCAACATGACGTCCGAAACATAATTACTAGTATTCGCACTAAAATAAATATTTACATCACTAAATAACTAATTATTCTTTCAATGTTCTACAAAAATATAATATATAAAAATAGTATTTGTATAGAATAAAAAATTAGTACTAGGATTGAAAAATGAGTATACATTTTTCGAAATTGAATACATTTATGGTACGTATCCAGTTTAACATCAAACTTTATAGCACCGTTTACTCAGCGACTTAAAACTATAAATTAAGGCTTTGCCTCAAAAATACTACTAGCACATTTCAATTACACACAAAATAATCTTAAATTCTAAATTAACGATAAAACAAAATATCAAGGAACTAATTCGAACAATTCTGAAACGCGACTTGTAGTCGTGTATATCAATAAATTTACCTAACATGTATAAAACTCTATTGAAAATATGATATTTATGAAATAATATCAACCACAACCAAATACCCTCAGCTGCTTGTAACGAACAATCCGAATTAAGATATTAGCTTTATTTAAAATCAATAGTAAAAATTTTCATTTTTTAATTCCATATTGAAGTTAATGTTCCTAAAAAATCAAAACAGGAAACTGAATATTTTAATTTTGACGCACTGATAGAAGTTAAAATCGCCGGCCGCCATTAATCGAATATGCTGTAGCGCACATATTGTATCAATCAAAAAGTTTGTGCGATCTATTATAATATTGCAGTCTTCATTGAAATTCCGCAAGCAGGTACTAATTTTTTTAATGAAATACGTACTTATCCTGTATTGGTTCATGGACATCGTTTAATAAAAATTAAACCACAAAAAATTTAATTTGTGTAATATGTTTAATTGTTGATATTAAATGAGATGTACATAGTTTGAAGCAGCAATTAAGATCCACCATGCAGGCACTATATGATTTACGGGTTCCTCGTGATCAGTAACCTGTTACAATTTATTGTCATTTTTAACTTTTTTTGTGAAGGAAAGCAGTACTGGTTTCCCAAAGGCATTTTTAATCGTTGAGTGTAAACACGATTGCTCGTATGACTAGAGATATTTTAAACTGTAGGCAGCGGCTTGGCTCTGCCCCTGGCATTGCTGAAGTCCATGGGCGACGCTAACCACTCGCAATTAGGTGGGCCGTATGCTAGTTTGCCTAAAAGGGCAATAAAAAAATCAATAAAAAAAACAATTTGTAGATTATGTCAATCTGTTTAGAATATAATATGTGACGATACGGTAATCTGCAATAAAAAATAAATTTAAAGATAAGTTTGTCTGCAACCTATTTGTGTGCGTATTTGACCAACATAAAAATGAAATGTACCTATAGGATTGTTCGTTCCAACCAATTTCCTAAGCAAAAATTATATCGACAAATCAATATGCTCTAAACGGAGAGGGTACATTTACCCTTTCTGGAGCAATATTTGACGACAAATAAGGATTCGCTCTAAAGGTAGTGCGAAATATATGGAGGGTGGAGGTAAGGAGCACCATCTTGTATAAAGGCTCACCGCTCACCGAAATAGCGGTAGTGTAGGAATTGGAAATGACATGAATATAGCATATTTAAACAGAGTGAAATGTAGTAGTATATTACGCTGTTTTTAAAATTCTTCCTTCCACTTTTTTATTGCTTAGATAAGCGTACAACCTCACAGCCCGCCTGGTGTTAATTGGTTACCGGAGCTCATAGACATCTACAACGTAAATGCTTGAGTTGTAAGGTCTCCGATTTTACAGTACAACGGCTACCCCGCCCTACCCTTCAAACTGAAACGCATTACTGCTTCACGGCAGAAATAGGCAGGGTGGTGGTACGTACCCGTGCGGACTCACTGGACGTCCTACCACCAGTAAAACCAATGGTACTAATATGGCGCCACCTTTCGCCGCTCCCTTTCAACCTTTTACTACACTGAGATGGTGCTCCTTGCTTCTATCCTCCATAGCGAAATATCATAATATAGTTTACTATATATAGTTTTTGTTACCAAAAGTAATTAACAGTTAACGGGAAGATGTGACCTACTACACAACTACAAAAAAAATATTCGTTCTTTGTCCTAACGTTTATACTAGGTTTTTCCTGTTAATTAATTATTCACAAAAACGAAAATAAAATACCTTTTTTTGGTACAAAGTTTGCTTTTGTGATAGTTATAGTAATAATACTCATTATTCAACTTTTTTTATAAATTTTAATTAATTTTAATACTTTCAAAAAAAGTGCCACTAGATGGCACTCAAGTCATAAACAACGATCTGTGTGCTTAGTGCGAGTTTTGTGACGTTCTCGATAGCGAGCCAGTTTGCTCAAATTTGTATGCAATTGGAACAGCGCCCCTAGCGGCAAACGTACCCGGTGTTATTGTGTGAGTGCGAGTTCATATTAACGTTGTGATCTCGTAACCGAGTAATTTTACCGAAATGAGTACCACGAATGACATTTGTGCGAGTGCGTGTTACAAATTAGTGGATTTTAACGTTGCGATCGAGTATTTCTTTAGTAGTTCTATTTTTCCAACTAGAGAGGCAAAAGTATCATGCCATAGAGCCTAATCTTTTTTATGAAAAATGATAATATGGAGTGAAATGGATTTGATTAATTTGAAGCATTAATCAATTGGTATGGAATGAAATTAAATGAGATCAGATAATATGGGATAAAATATAATCTCTGTAAAATGCTGATATTTACTGAGATTTTTTTCAGGGGACTTTTTCGAAGACTTCGAGAAACTACGTCCAGCGGTTTTGTTTAATTTTTTTACATTTTCGCACTTTCACAGATACTAAACAGTTAATAAACCAACGTTATTTTGTTATTGCATAGATGGGTGGACGAGCTCCCGGCCCACCTAATCTTAAGTGGTTACCGGAGCCCATAGACATCTACAACGCAAATGCCGCCTCCCACCTTGAGATATTAGTTCTAAGGTCTCAGTATAGTTACAACGGTTGTCCCACCCTTCAAACCGAAACGCATTACTGCTTCACGGCAAAAATAGGCAGGGTGGTGATACTTACCCGTGCGGACTCACAAGACGTCCTACCACCAGTAATTACGCAAATTAATTTTGCGGGTTTGATTTTTATTACATGATGCTATTCCTTTACAGTGAAAGTCAATCGTAAACATTTGATAAGTACGTATTTCATTAGAAAAATTGATACCCGCCGGCGGGATTAGAACACCGGTGCATTGCAAGATACGAATACACCGGACGCCTTAACCTTTAGGCCAGGACGGTCTCAAAATTACACTTATACACGAAGAAATATTAAATACGCATTAACTAAGAAACATTAAATAGACAAAATAAAACAATTCACACAATTTAGCTCCTCGCGGTCCCTCCAAAATGTCTTTTCATCTTTTTTTCCTAGTTGTTCAATTGTAAATGAATAAATCAAAATCAAATCGAGTTTACGTTCTATACGGTGAAAAATGAAGAATTGTGAGTGTGAGTTGAGATATGCTACTCGCTTCGCAGGGCGTTTATTCACCGAGAGCAGCAATAATATTATTTCTCGTATATTGGTAGCACGTGATGTTTTGGCATTAGACCGTCTAAATGAAATACAACGCATTTTAACAGCATTTTAATGGGAACCAACTACTTTCAAAATTATTCGGGTAATGTCACGTGTTCAATACTATTTTGTACCTTTAGAATTAAAGTGGCTCAACCCAAAATTCTTAGTTTCTGGTAAACTTCAATATTGTAATACAATAATTGTATTTTTTTAGTTTTTCGGTTTAAACACTTTAAGGCATGCCATTTTATTTGAAAAAGACAGAAAGAGTACTTTGTCCTTTTCTAGACTAAAAGAGACTGTTTAATTTTATAAGCTGATAGAATAATATAGAAAAGAATAATAGGATACCCTCTAATCGTCACATTGGAAAAAGGTATGGCTTTATCATTTTATCATTTAAATTTTTTTTTATTGCACTTATAAAACTAATTTAATTTACAATATGTAAATACATATATCTATAACTAATCCGTACTTGTCAAATTCCTCATAAATTGTCAATATTCTTAATAAAATTCCTATTAATAATATACAAGTGCAAATGTTGAGCTGCTTGCCAGAAATGATATAATAGTGTTTTGTTTTTTTGTTGTTTCCTTGTAGGCTGCCTGTAATAATCTAAATCTGTGTGAAAGGCAATAAATGATTTTATTATTATCTACTAATGGTAGTCCAGTGGTCGAAATTTGACCATAATTTATTTAAATTTTAAGTTTGAACATTATTATAGTTCTATTGTCACCTTTCTATTATCATCATTTCTATAATAATCATTGCTCTATGTCGCCAAGGCTACATTATAGAAAAATAATATTAAAGACAAAAAATATTAATCTATTCTCAATTTCACCACAGATTGATAAATCAATAAACAAAAAAAGTATAAATGTGTGTGTGTGTGTGTGTGTCAAATATATGGTATTGTGTGTAAGGTTTTTTTATTGATTTAGTTTATTTTTTTATTGTTTATGCACTATTAAAAAAAAAAAATTAGCAATCTGCACTACTTCTCTATATTCTCTATAAGTGTGGGAAATTTCATACTTCTCCGTCCGCGCAATTTTCGTAAAAAGGAGTACAACATTTTTGCTTCACGTATTACCTACTTAAAATGTAGGTTCTTAATAATAATACATAAGTGTTTTGAAATATAAAACTAATCTTAAATTTTTTAGTTATACCACTTCCATTCTAAGGGTGCTATTTCGTAAACAAACTTTGCCGTTCATTACGCCATTGCGTAACCCTTAAAATACACGAAAACTGCCCAGCATAAACATAATTTTTTAGTAACTTTAATAGAAGTACTAGAATTCGAAGTTTATTATAGAATTTATTTAATTGTAATTACATATTTAGACATAGGTACTTAACATAATTAATCTTGGAATAGGTAATTATTTCAGCTTTTTTTTAATTAAAGAAATTATGTTTTATATAGGTTTAATCATTTACCCGTTGAACGTTTATAAAATGATTGTATTTACGGTAATAGTGTTGATGATCTTCATTAGGTGGCCCAAATATACTAAAATTATTACGAGCATCCATCCTTATTTATAAATGTGTAAAGAAGCAAAATTATTATTACATTGTTCAAATTTCTATTTAATTTATAAATATATATCTGTACGTATGTAGTGTAAATATATGTGTGAGTGTGCGTGCGTGTGTGTGTGTGTATGTGCGCGTGTGTTTGTGTGTGTCTATATATTTCAATAGATAAAAATCTAAAAATAGATAGGTACACAGTGTGCAATTCATTTCGAAATTATTCTTGCCCATCTAATGGTTGTCTGGAAGAGATCACTCTTAGCGATAAGACCAAGAATTGTACTCTTTTTTTTTTATTAATATTGTTTCGCAATATTTATTCATTTTGTGTACAATAAAGAATACTCTATCTCTCTCTCTCTCTCTCTCATCAAACAACTCTCTAAAAAAAGCAATGATTTAATAAGAATTAAATGAAAAAGCAAATAATTAATATGTATTTACAACTAGCTAGACGTCTATAAAATTTTCTAACCGAAAAAATATATGTGTATAAACCATTAGAATAGATAAAACCTTAAAAAACAACATTATTATTAAAAAGGAAAGAAAAAAATCTTGATATTGTATTGGTTTCACGGCAAAATTTTTAGTGACTACTTAACTTGCTTGAAAGTGAAGAAATACTCTCAAAATCCATTAATTTGCAACTCGCACTCGCACATACAATAATCGAGAGGCTCACTTCGGTAAAGCTATTCGATACATGAGACAGCAACATAAACAAACCTTCTCTCTCCCACAAAATGAGATTCATAAGCTTACCACTAGGTGGCACTAATACAACCTCACACAAATTAAACATAACATTAACATCGACTGTGTAATTAAAAAAACTCGCACTAAGCACAGGTACATTACCCATTACCCGACTAATTATAAATATCGTTATAAAGCTTGGCATTTCAATTAAACGCCTTAAAAAAAACCTTGCGTGCTACCAATATAAAAGAAAAAAATATCGCTTCTCAAGATGAATAAACGTCCTGCAAATCGAGTACCTAACTCGCACTCAGAGCTCCGCACGTTTCACCGTGAAGAGCGTACACTCGATGCGAGTCATTCGATTCGATTTTTGAAACTCGCACTAAGCCTACAGGTGTTTTGTACAAGCCCAGAAAAACTTAAAATGTCACGAAAGTGTAAATACGATGCTGCATTTTGTTTCATATGTGATCAATTTATTAAAGTTCAAAAGCAAACTGTTTCATGCCATGTATTTTTTTTCGTCTAAATACGATCTAAAATATCGAAATTTTATGCTTTGCAATCAAAGTAAAATTTGGTGTTGACCCGTGCTATGTATCCCTTGAATTTATAATCTCATCGCGTTGGCATTTCGTAGGAAGTTTCAGTTAAAGTACAGAATGTTCGTAATAAGAAGGAGGCCCTGAGACGCTGAATTGTCAGGCAATTTAAAAGAAATGCTCCTGTTGAATTTCATATAAAAGAAAAAAAATATAAAGGTTAACGTTTAACTAATAAATAAATAGCATTTTTGTGGCACAAGTGTACGAAGTGATAAGTACGAACGGTTTTGGTATACTTAAAATCTATAATTTAGATTTATATCTATGTTTTCGTATCGCCATGTTGCTTACCTCTCTCTGTTTAACAGGGACCGAGTTTCTATCTGTATCTATAGTTTATTATTTATTTGTTTATATAGAACTATTCATATATCGTCAGGAGATAAAGTCTTAATTACTTTTGGTAAATAAAAATAGCACTGTATACCTACATAGGAAAGATAAGTGAAATAATAGAAAAACCCTTTTCGCATTAAAACAAAAAATCTTATCTTAATTATGTCAGGTACTAGGAAGCTAAACAATGCTGCCTGACTCTTCATAAACATATACAGCCTACATTATATTTAAATAAAAATAAAAAACAAGAGAATCATACCTACTCATTGGATATGTCATAAACTTAAAAATAATATTGCACGTCCGGCCATTCATAGAATCTAAAAAATAAAATTAAAAAAATATATTTTATAATTTACTTACAATTAATAAAATTTAAGTATAAATTAGACCTATATTCACAAAACAGAGTACACAAAATGTTGAAGAGTATTTAATTTACCTAACGTATTGCACTATGAATATTGCACACCGTTCGTAAATATTGCACACAACATTTAAATTATAATCAATCGTCTTGAGAACTCTTGCTACTATCGTTATAACTAGTACTTTCGATATTAATGTCTTGCTCTCTAAAACAGTTAAAAAACACCGAATGAGTTTCTACACTTTCAGCCCCAGATTCACTTCTAGCTTCATTTTCCGTATCGTCACTTTCACTGCAACTCACAATTTTTGCTACAACTAACTTTCGTTGGAATGGCGTTGAATTCGTCGAATCACTACTCAAGTAACCAGAATCTTGAACGTTTGTACCTTTCTTTTGTCTGTTCCGTGGCTTGTTATCGATTTTGTCATTCTTCACGAATGTATTAGTGTTCAATCCACTACTGGATGCGTCGACTGAACGTCGCTTGGTGAAGGTTCTGCAAAAATTGCCAGTCGTATTTGGTTGAGCATGAAAGTTATCGTACTCCGAGGATTGTGATTCGACAGAAGCTCTCATTGGACCACATGGCAGTCCATGATATGATTCAGGAGTCGTTGATGTATCACAGTCCACTATGTCCGTTGTTAAATTCTTTTCAAATGTCCTCGGATTGAGGCTTCTGCCGTTATCGTTTTTTGAATACTCTCCTATAGGTATTCTATCATTTTCTACTTTCCTAGGAGGACTTATTGGCTGTTCGTATATTGGGTAGTCAATTGCAGGGGGTAAAGGCGGAAGAACGTCCGGTCTTGCTAAATTTTTCAATTGCTTTATAGTCGGCGGTGTGGATTGTCTTTGTCTCTTTGAATGCCTTAATTCTAGAGTCAGAATACGCCCTTCGTCTGAGTTCCATTCTGTTGCCTCATCCCACGTTTCATCTGTAGTACTATCTAAGCTCTTCGAGCCGCTAAAGGAAGTTACAGAGAGCTTAGGTCGGTCGTGAATAGGTTTTCTTTGATCACATGCGTTCCGCAAACTGTGAAACTTCGTTGTAGACAATACTTTTTCATCAGATTTTACAAAAGTTCCACTACTTCTCAATTTTATACGTTGCCGTAGAGGACCTTCCTCATTCTCAATATTCTCAATAGATTTTATAAAATCTCTCCTACTAAACTGTACATTATCTATTAAATCTTTGTGTTTTGTATGTTTTCTATCTAATGTGTCAGGTTCGAAGCCATCAGATTCATGAATTTTAATATAATTTTCTGGGGGATCTTTTACTTCTATTGTCAAACAACCAGGTTTTTCTTGTAAAGCATTGGTAAGGATAAGTTTCTTACTTCCCATGGAACATTCTGATCCACTTGGAGATGTCGGCGTACTTCCAAAGTTATAATTATTATTAACATACACTTCGCTTACTAGACTGTAATCATGATCCTGATTAATTATTTTACAAGACTTACTTTTGTCGTTTGTTTGACGAATAGTTTCATAATAATTTGGATGCAAGGTAATGTCGTGGTGAGGTGATGGGGTATTACTATTGCTACTCGAATTAATTTTGTATATTGCATTGCGCATCGTAAGCTCTTCTTCTAAAGGTAAAGCATTGCTTAGACTTGGACTAGCTTGGGATGATGGAACATCTGGATATTCAGTTGGTGTTACAACACCTTTTTTATTGGAATTTCTTTCCAGACTGTCAGTTTCATATTCATTTCCTGATGGTATCTCTGTATTACGTCTATTTAATAAAGCGATATGTCTACCCTCGTTTAATTCGTCTAATATATTACCATTAAGTTTCTCATCGTCTGAGCTACTTGCTTCATTGTAAGCTTTAGAACTATCTAAAGCTACAGCTTCATTTATCATGTCAGGTAAGACATTATTATTTTTAGGTATATAGTCAATTTTTCTCGGAATACCTGAAAAGTAATGTTCTACATCTAATGCGTTAATATCATTAACTTCCGCAATGTTTTGTCCATATCGAGAATAGGTTATATTATCAAATTCAGGCAATGGCAAATTATGATTCCGAACACCTGGTTCGGATCTTATTGACATTGTACCAGAATTTTTGGGCACGTAAAAGTCATTCCCGTTGTTCATAGAACTCGATGTTGTAAAGCTGTGTTGCTTGCGTATTTTGGGAACTCTGTTCTCTGTTAGTGGTGGTAAGGACATCATAGAATTAACAATGCCATGTTGTTCGGCTAATCTTAAGAATTCACCATCTGATTGCTTAGCTGGTGGTATATCCTCCAACCATTTTCTGATACTGATCTGTTTATCTCCTTTATTCCCTAAGCAGTTAGAACAAGACGGGAGATTGTGTTTCACAAAATACTGCATATCATTTGAATTTCCCGATTGGCACCCAGGACATCCAATACAATCTTTTCGCCTGCTATTGTCTCGTTTCAAACTAAATACGCTGTCACTTTTTTGACTTCCCAAACGTTGATATAAATCTAAGTTGTTTCCACTTGACGAGTAAGTTTCTTCTTCTGGTATTTCATTGAGAACGGGTTGAAATCTTTTAGTTGCCATCTTATGTTTTGCTATAGATATTACTTCTCGTATTTTCGTTAAAAATTCTAAAGCTGCTTCTGGAGGTTCCTGCAACCAAAGAAATCATTTATAGGAACTGATTTATCCACTAATTATTCTTAGTTGCACAATTTTGGCTAAAGCATTATCTTCTATGATTCTCAAGAAAGACTGAATTTATGTCACTTTATTTTTAGTTCTGCATTTCGTGACACGTTTTTACGACTTTTCATAGTTAACGATAGTTTTTGTTACTAAGCATACTTTAATAATCATGTGCTATTTGCCAACGGACCCTAAGAAAACCGATGATTGCTTCCACGGACCTTAAATTTGTTGATACTTACAGCCATTAGTTGAGGTTCGAAATAAGCCGGGTTGAAATACAGCTTCCTACGCGTTGTGCCAACTGGTCTCATTATCTCTCTATCATCAGTGGTTTCGACAATGGACACGTGCTCGTCGGGTAATCTTTCGATTCCGGAATCATCACGATGCGATAGTTCAGGGTTATCACGGTTGATTTTGAATTCTCGATGTTGGTGTATGAGGGCTGATGTTGTTTGGTTCTGAAATATATCATTACATGAATACCCCTTTAGGATCCTAAGGTTTATAAGGTTACTGGTGGTTCGACATATTGTGTACAAGAACTTAGCAATTTTTAATTTTTTAAATTGCTTATACGGTAGACGAGCTCACGACCCACCTGATGCTAAGTGGTTACCGGAGCCCATAGACATCTGCAACGTAAATGCCGCCACCCACCTTGAGACATGAGTTGTAAGGTCTTACTTTTTAACAGTACTACGGCTGCCCCACCCTTCCAACCGAAACGTATTACTGCTTCACGGCAGAAATAGGCGGTGGCGGAGGTGATACCTTGCCGTGCGGACTCACAAGAGGTCCTACCACCTTTTTTTATTTCACAATATATATGTAGAATAGGGGTCACAGCGCATAAAATAAAACTTCCACTGTTACAAAATCTTGTGTTACTATAATAAAAAATATATCTAACAGCTTTTACGCCTTAACCGTCTTCGCCATCTTCATTTTTCTGTGTCATTCTGTCTGTCATTCTCACATTCAGACCTTAGTTGTATCTCAAGGAGGGTGGTGCATTTACGTTGTAGATGTCTGTGGGCTTCAATAACCGCTTAACACCAGGTGCGCTTTGAGCTCGTCCAACCATCTAAGCAATAAAATAAAAGCAACTAACTTACATGATACAGGTTGTCATCACTCATAACACTGCTATCACCAAAGTCATCAGAATCCGATATATTGCTAGCGTCACTAATAAAACCTTTGTGATCTGTGTACGTGTTGCTCAATAGTGGATTTTTCTTGATCATTCCATCATCCTGTCTCATTGCATTCGGCAAAGACTGCATACGTTCGTTATTAATTCTAATTATATCTCGTTCAGTGATAGGAAGGCCATCTTTCTTATTTGATCCTTGCCGCCTTTTGTCTTCGCTAGAGGTTTTTCTGCGTTTACGAATATGTAAGAAAAAGAGCACTGAAGCAATATATATGAGGCCGAGCAATAAGGAGCTTATTCCGATAGCAACATATTCGGAGATGGAAAGTCCTGATGTGGTTGTGGCGTCCGATTCATGGGCGTTTGGCGCAAACTGAACCTCTGATACGTCTAGAAATGAATAATAACATAATTTTATTATACGATGATTAATTAGTCAGTACATTATTAATGTACTTACTGGTGTAATTTACTGGTGGTAGGACCTCTTGTGAGTCCGCACGGGTATGTACCACGACCCAGCCTATTTCTGCCGTGAAGCAATAATGAGTTTCGGTTTGAAGGGTGGGGCAGCCGTTGTAACTATACTGGGACCTTAGAACTTATATCTCAAGGTGGGTGGCGGCATTTACGTTGTAGATGTCTATGGGCTCCAGTAACCACCTAACACCAGGTGAGCTGTGAGCTCGTCCACACATCTATGCAATAAAAAATAAAAAAAAGATAAATGTCGCTTAAACCAAATAGCCTCTCAATCCTCGAATATGAAAAAAGAAGTTTATAGCCTTTTCTACTAAGGGAGATATTTATAGACGTACTTATATAGGCTTTCGGGGGTGTTCCTTGTACTCGGAACGCGACGCATGGCGTGAAGACTCCGCGGAGGTCTAATGGTGAATTAGGCGTGGCGGCCACGTCCCGACAAAGCAGACGCACCAGCATAACACGTCCTGTCATACGTGCACGAACATCATTTTCACCGTTCCACTAAAGTAGCAAATGAATAAATAAAAAAAACAATTAGAGCATTTATTGATAGCATCACAAGAACCAAATAGGTATGAATGTGAGGGAGTCCATAATATAGAGTCCCTTCTTTATTTCGCAGTAAAGTAATGTTTTATGTAATTAACATCACAGTTGAAACAATATAAATTTTATTGTTGTAGCGGCATAAACAATTCTAAGTTATTATTTATTATATTAGCTATTAAACACATTATAAATTATTTTTACGTTTTAAATTTTTGGCGGTAAAAAGTTCCCGTGTCACAGACTATATTCTTTTTCCTACCTCTCGTGCGTTCCGGATTACGCATCATAAAAAGGTGCGTTCTTAAACGCCACAAATGTAACAAACAGAGAAATATTAACATTAATATAGCACATATATGTATATAAAAACACTTTTAAGGCTTAGGTTTTTAAGGTGTTATTTTCATTTTATTATTTCGAATGTTTCAAATTATTTACAGTTTATCGTGCTCACGGGTGATTCAGGTATTATTCGTCGATATTTAGTTGTCTTTTTAATTTATTGATGCACAAAACAAATTACGATCATTACAGTACAAATTAGCTAAATCGTACAAATAGTAGGTACCTAAATCTAATCTGGATTGCAATCTAAATGGTATATGCACTCAGTAAACCCGTAATAATGTACATAGCTTTGTCTATTGAAAACGATACTGCAAAAAGAAATAAAAAATTACGAATAAAAAAAAAAAAAAATGAATTCCATGAAAAAAAAAACGGTATCCATATACGTAGACAAAAATACAATGATTTGTGAAGACTGAAGAAAAATATAATATACAATAAATAAATTTATTAATATTATAGTAGTCGTAGCCTTTAGGATATGACGCCCGGTATGCTTCGTATAAAGCGAAGCGACCATTCTGTTATTAAATCCCGCATGCAGCTATCGAATTTTTGGTGTAAATGAACATTCATCAAAAACTACAAGTTTTTTTCAATACGATTCTCGTTTAAATTCGCTTAGCGCATTTCTTTAGGAATTTATATTATATATTGTCTTCGTTACAAGTAGAAAAGCACATCCTTTATTACAATACTAATCTTGATTTATTTGAAAATAGTTTTTATAAATATTCTAAATTAGTTAAACATATTCTCAAATAATTAATATTGTCCAGTTAATTATACATTAGATTTAATTTAATTAGATAGTAACTTAATATGTGTGTGAGTGTGCGTGCGGTTGTGTGTATGTATATACATGTACACACACAAGGTATTTAGGCATCTGTTCCCTTTTTATAATTTTTCTGTATTGCACCTGTTTTGAATTGTAATCCAGATACAGTCAAAATCTGTTATAACGACATCGAAGGGACTGCTCATATTCAGTCGTAAAAACCGATAGTCGTAACAACCGGTGATGTTTAATGTGTATCGTGCAAGTACAAACAAATCGATAGGGAATTATTGGAAAAATATATTTACATAATACGCGATTTTTCTTCAATATTAATTTATTTTCTTTTTCTTTGCGACATTTTGAAAGTTTTACGAATAACTTCACAAAGTTTTGATGCGTCTTGTTATAGATAAGTAACAAACTAACTGAAGAGATACGAAGAAGCGGGCTTTGACTCTACTGCATGCACGTGTTTTGTTTCTAAGAATTAGAAACGACCCTACACTAAACTAAATCCTATTGTTTTCTTTCCTGATTTTAATAGTCATTGAAGACAAATGATACCTATTCAAATTGTTTACAATACAGCTTAGCCGGTCGTTCTAACAGATCTAATTCTCCGAAATATTAGTTAAATGTGGTCGATTTATGAGGTATGTCGTTATTACCAATGTCGTAGAAAGCAATATTTTTAATAAGGCGGTCATATGGCATTCAGCCGGGACCTTTGTTCTAGGTTATTATAACCGGCATGTTGTATTAAACGATGTCGCAGTAAACGGTTTTGACTGTAGTTATATTAAATATTTAAACTTATAATTTCTATGGTTGTAATTTGTTTTGTGCATCAATAAAGGACAAAAAAAAACTCATTAAAAGATGGTTGATTGTCTTGAAAATTGAAGTACTTATATAAGTTTTAAATCTCACCTGAAGAAAAGTTCGGCCTTCGTCTCGAAATAAGTTGAAAGGTACATCCGCGTCTAGCGTGTTTCGTATGTCAACGAAGCCTTTGCGTGTAAGAAACTGAGCTCCTGATACAGCGCATATAGGAGTTTTGACGTCTGAAATAAAATCATTTTGGGTTTTAGATCTTAAAATTTTAGAACGTCTCTATTAGTTTGATAGTCGTATATGATTATATGGAACGGAATCTTTCAACGTCATTCGAGATGTTCTGATTAACTTGAAAACTTGCAGACGCATCAAGGACCGATGACAAAACAATAATTTTATAACTTCGATCTAATATCCTGAAGAGTAATAACAGGGAAATTTACTGGTGTTAGGACCTTTTGTGAGTCCGCGCGGGTAGGTACCACCACCCTGCCTATTTCTGCCGTGAAGCAGTAATGTTTCAAGGGTGGGGCAGCCGCTGTAACTATACTTGATACCTTAGAACTTATATCTCAAGGTGGGTGGGCGTTTACGGCGTAGATGCCTATGGGCTCCAGTAACCACTTAGCACCAGGTTGGCTGTGAGCTCGTCCACCCATCTAAGCAATAAAAAAAGGGAGAAAAAAAATATATTTTTCAGGCGACTCAGGTGTCAACTTGTTTTTCTGACAGGTAAAACTAGAATGTATCCAAAGAGCATTAGAGTTCTATATTGAAAATTATCCGATGCGATTGAAACAGAATTAAGCAGTTCCACTAGAAAACTAAGATAACTAAGGCTAAATTCGTAAAAGGTAAGAATGGTTCCTCCAGTAAAACTTCTAAGAATATTTTTAAAGAGTTGATGTCGGCACTGGCTGCTTAAAAATCGGCTTTAACGAAACACACATGCGATTCCTTTAACAATATGAATAGGTTCCTATTCAACCATGAGCGACGTTGAAGACATGCCTTATGCAATTTACAAATGACTTTTAGAAACCAATCTCAAAACTGACCTCCGACAAAGCCGCCGCGTGCCACCCTGCCGCGTTATAATGAAGATGACCAGTGACTATTGCCGACAGTAACCACTCAAGACAAGGTTGGCTTTCATCGCATCCTTTAATGGTACCCTCTCAGTGGGTCGCAGTTCCTATGCGGTGGTAGATACTGCAAAGCACTGCTCTTGCTAAGGATAGTGTTAGCAAATTCTCTCAGGTTGAACCCGTAGGCTCACCTACCCTTCCGGGCGTAGCTGGAATAGTCCCTTAGGCCACCAGCGAATAGGTAAGGAAAAAAATCATTGGCGAACGAATTCTGAATATGCTGCGCATTAAATTATGATTTATTGTTGAAATTAGGCTAAATACTCACTTTGAAAAGTAATTTCTCTTGAAGGATGAATGATTTGACCTTTCAGAGGTAGATAAACGAATGGTATCCGTTGATTGCTTAGGCCAGTCCCGAATGTTGCTAGTGCGCATTCTGCAAATAATAATACACTGCCAATGTAACGTTGATAAATATCCGAAAACGTTCCTTATTTGTACGTACAAAATGTATAATGTACGACATATATATTTCACTGGTAATAAATGCTCTTGCATAACATTAAATATAATTTGGTTCCCGGTTAACCGGTATATAGTGTTGTGTTAAAATTTGCGACCATGACAGTTTATACGTTGTTGTTCCGAAATCGGAAAAGGCCGATGCGACTCAGATTTGCCAGATCCATTTGACCTTTCAATGCATGGTTTTACCAACATAAAATGCATATAATTTTGAATACGGTATATCCAAAGCATGCTGATATTTTTTTATGAAGGAAGGATTACTGTTGGCCCGGTGGCCTGTCCAGTTTCACCAAGACAGGTGGGTGAGCATGGGCTCAGCCTGGGAAGTGGGGTTTGCTAACAGCTGCCAGAGCTCATCCGAAGGAGATCTAACAGCTCAAGGGCTGCTTCGAGAATGTATCTACTACAGGATCAGAATCGTGACCCGCTGAGAAAATCCGGCGAGAAACTCAGCGGGCTGACGTATGGATTAGGTACGTTGAATGTCGGACTGTTTTCAGAGTTCGACGAATACGATTACCAAGGTCCCTAAGCGTGCTCCTACTGCTCGAGCTGCTGTCGTCTAATAATACTGTTAATGGATCGGAAGGATCATTAAGGATATGTCTAGGGCGTCGCCTATGATTGGCTCCTGCGTGAGCCGTAGACGAGGAAGCATGCTGATACAACGCGAAGTGCACAATAATTTATTTTAAACTATTATACTTTTTAATTCTTATCTATAAATTATGAACAGTCTTGTTTTTCTTCACCGTATCCCACCAGATGGGGTCGGCACAGCTAATTTCCATTCTCTTCCATCAGCCGTCAGCTCAACACTCACTCCTCTCTCTCGTATCGTTATTCACACACTCCATCCATGTCTTCTTCGGCCGATCTCTTCCTCCTCTACCTTGCATTACCATTTCCATACATCTCCCAGTCACATGCATAATGCGTGCCACATGCATGAACAGACCGTTTACATTATTTATATAACAAAATATAGGACAACAGATGTCAAATATTAATGAAACAAGAAAAATACTGATAAAAATGTTGATAAAATCAACTGATTCACGTGTTGAAGTTTTTAGTGGACATCTCGTTTATAAAAGAATTCATACTTCGTGAATCCATTGCGTTATTAAGAACAAACTGGACAAATAGCACGTATTAACATCAAAAGTTTAATAACAACGATGTAAGTTACGAGCCTCGGTATTTTAAATCGATAAATAACCGAATTAGCGAAAATGCGTGAGATTAAGTTCACAAAATTTACATATTGTAATATACTTTATGTGATTTAAGTTCCCTTGTAAGCTATAAGTATTAACTTGTTGTGTTATGTTGGGATAAAAAATAACATGGTCTGTGCTGATTTTAAAAATGGCGATAGAATACGTTAAGATCATTGAAAAATGGATCTCTGATTGAGGCGCACTAGGTTGTAATTGTTAATCCCGAGTAGAACACTTAGGGACATAAGATTGAAGTACAATGACCTTTCAAATTGGAATTGATGATGTTCGCCGATAATAGGCCGAACCTATTCTCACAGGATTAGATTATTGCAATAAATTTCAAAAGCATTTCAATTAAAATTTTAAGCTTAGGATAATACGATAATATTATTATTATTTTTTTTCCATATCTAATGTCTGGTAATCTATGGGGCTATTCCAACTACTACACGCATCAGTAGGTAAACGTACGGAGTTAACCTGAGAGAATTGCTATCAGTGGCCTTAGCAAAAGCAGTGCTTCGCTGACTCTACCACTGAATTTGAATCCCGTCTATATTAAGGGATAGCGCAGCAAATTTTATCGACACATTGCTTTTAGATTGTATTTATGTCAAAGCTGGATTATAAGTTCCGAGATTTAATCCTGTTTTGAAGCATCACTTAACTATCTACGCTTAGGAAGAATCCTAAGCGTATAGAAATTCAGTGCGTTCTATTCTATCATAAGTAGCTTACACGGTAATGTAGATTCTTTGTAAAACTAAATACACTTATTAAACACGTAGGTATTCTCAGACTAAATACTTAGTGAAATTACGTTATTTTAATAGAAGATATCTTAAGCCTGTCGCGGAGTAACGAAGTTAAAATGATTATTATTGGCGCGTTTGATTTCAATGATGTTGTTAAGAGAATTTCTTAAACACTCAATGGCTTTCATTTACTGAAGAGTTTATAAGTATGGACGACGCACTATTGTGGATTGTAAGCTGGTCTGCCTTTTTTTATTACCCTTGTAGGCCACGAGCATACGGTCCACCTGATGGTGAGTGGTTACCATCACCCGTGGTTTACAGCAATGCCAGGGGCAGAGCCAAGCCGCTGCCTACCGCTTAATACTCTAGATAGAAATTGTTTTTGTTACCTGGTAGATCATCGACGCATAGCTCTCTGTCTTCCCTGAACAAGGGAGCTCGCTGCGGACAAACGCAAGCGCATCCTATGCCATCTTCAGCGCCTTGACCAGCCCCATGCTCTGCGCATTGCGCAGCCCCACATTCTTCTCCTAAAAATTCACAAGAAAAAAAGATGTGTGGTGTCGTGGGACACCGGATAGGAACGAAGTCCCTTATTGTACAAATATTAATTTTAAGTTCTATTCGAGGTATACAGAAAATAGTTATTCGGGTATATATATTTTTATTGTGATTTTTTGATTGATAAAAATAAAATAAAAAATTTTTTTTTGTACGTTATTATAAAGTTAAGTCGTACACTGTGTGCATTACTAATAAAAATCTTACGTTACGGACGTTTTTTCCCCGTTAGGGTACCCCTCCGCATCGTCCCATAAGGAACTTCGTTCCAAAAAAAATACATTTAAGATATAAATAAAAAATTTATTAGAACCTCTATACTTAAATTAACAATATTTTAAAATTCATGTTCTTTTGAGATTAAGGGATTTATATTTTTGTTTGTTAACCGTAAATAGGTTATAACGTCCACATCACCAGCTCTTCGAGGCTAAGCGTTTCCTAGAAACACTATCGTCAATTCTACTGCCACACTTAAAACCATCGGTCAAAATCTCAAATCCATTGGACTAATGGTACTAAAATCCAAACATTATACCTATTAAAATGAAACTAACGATTAACCGTGACATCTTCATCTGAAATCTAGTTTCAAATCAAACGTTAAATACAAAATTATTAAAAATTCATTTTAAAAAATTCCTATCTGTTCGCCGGTAGCCTAAGAGGCTATTTCAGATATACAAGGACGGGTGGGTGAGCTTACATGCTCAACCTGAGAGCATTTGTTAACACTAGCTCTAGCAAGAGCAGTACTTCGCAGACTCTACCACCATATCGGAATCACGACCAACTGAGAAAATTTTCATATATAGTCGTTGCAAATTTGAAATCTCCTATGTCTATAACTGTTGTTTACGAGAAAATCTAATAAAACTACGTCTTGAAAAAAAATACGCTAATATATTTTGTTTTTTACTTTGATTTACAATAAACTGCAAACCGATATTTAGGATTTTTTAAAAGACCGACACGTGATAAAGTGAAATATTAAGATGGGAGCATGGGAGTTTTTGTTGAGTAGGTACACCCTTAGAAATAGAAAAAAAAAAATTGATAATAATTTAAGAAAACATCATTTTGGCCCAAAATGTCATATAGAAAATTTAAAAAATGGAACGACGAAATAGGTATTATTATAATCTTATTACCTAATCTCTAAATCTACTAAATCTATATGTATACTAATATATAAATCTAAAGTGGTTTTTACGGATGTTCCGTTATAACTACTGAACTATGCATCCGATTGACTTAGAACTTGGTATCCATGTACTTAATGGATAGGCTAAAATTTATATGAGTGTTGGACTCCCTAATAATATTGGCAATAAATAATAATGTTAATTTTTATTGCCCAGCGAAGCGGGCGAGTACGACTAGTCGTATTATATAATCGTGACATACCTATTAAGGTGAAAATATCGCCTGTATCACGCCTGGCGAGGTCCCCGAGTCGGGCGGCCGCCGCCGTGGCCAGCAGTAGCAGCAGCGTGGCCATGCTACCCCACGCCGCCCGCGCGACCACGACCGCCCGCCACCGGCATTGCTCTTATACCTATAAAATACAAGTAAACACAAGTAAACGAGATACTGGTGGTAGGACCTCTTGTGAGTCCGCGCGGGTGGGTACCACCGCCCTGCCTATTTCTGCCGTGAAGCAGTAATGCGTTTCGGTTTGAAGGCTGGGGCAGTCGTTGTAACTATACTTAAGACCTTAGAACTTATATCTCAAGGCGGGTGGCGCATTTCCGTTGTAGATGTCATATCCAATTTCCAAAAATATTCGAAATTGAGTTAATATGCGGACTCATTTGGTATCACCAGTACTTTTCTCATAAATACTGTCAAGAGAGCGTAGTTTTTTTTGTTTTTTTTTTTGTTTACCTATATTTTGACTACTTTTAACAAAATTACACATAATTTTATCTTACTTTAAAAGACAGATAATGTAAATGTTAAAAAATAAAAATAAATGTTGCAAAGATGATTAATATTCATAATATCACATTAAACCTTTAAAACACTCTCCCGTAAAATTTGTAAGTTTTAAGATTATACAATTTGAATGCGAGAAGACGATATGTCGTCTTGTGAGGAAGAGGTAGATAGAGCTTAGAAGAAATGGATGGATTGCGTGAAAGACGATATGTGTAAGAGGGTAGTGAGCGAAGATGGTATATGATAGAGGAGTATGGAAGGAGAAAACATATTAAGCCGACCCCAGATGACTGGGAGAAGGGCAGGAGAATGATGATATATCATCTTGGGAATCCGCATTGATACATACTACCACCCTAACTAGTTCTGCCGTGAACCAGTAATGCGTTGAAATTTGAGTACAACCAGCGTATTTAAGCTTGTATGTCTATAGGACGCGCTGACTATCTAACACCAGATGGGTCATGAGCTCGTCCACCCATCTAAGCAATAAATAAAAATAAACAAAACTAAACATGTTTGTATCCTTGTATAATTATAAAATATGTATCATTAAATAAATTTAAAATTTCCGACGGCTCAAACAAATACATATTCGAGTTTTTAGTTGCCACCGGTTTCACTGTAAAATGTTATTACCTGTAACAAGAATTATAGTTAACTCCGAGAAACATTTTAGATAAGTAGTATTCTTAGGCCGGTAATTTGTGAAGACTAAGCGGCTTGAAGTTGATAATATTTTTCTGTGGTAGGATCTTTGAGCGTTCTCGCCTACCCGGATCTTAAATGTTTTTGCTGTAACCTTCAAATACAAATAATGACTTCAATCTTGTTGCAATCAAAATATTAACTTATCTATATCTAGTAAATTTTAAGTTGGCATTGTTTTAAAATGGATGTTGATTAACGAAGTCTCGCAATGTTTTAATTTTATATTTATAAGACCTTTTTTTCATTTTTCATTCTTAATTTTAGATGGGTATTTCATATCAAAATATGAACAATTTCAACGATACGTGAAAAAAACGAATTAAACTCCCGGGATGAATTTGCATTCACCAAACCAAAATCACATTAAACTACACAAGGTTAAGTTCAGTTTCGCAAATTTTGCAGCGTATTGAAAATTACATTTTTTTTATAATAACTTGCTTGAAGACGCAAAAATTGAAAACTGGCAACATTAACGTCCAGGCATAGATAATAAAAGACAACAAGACGAATTACCTGTGAAAGTAACCATTGTTCATTGTTACAAAGCTCCCGTGATTTTTTTACATAACCAACCATTTAAATTGTAACTTTAATAACGTAATAACATGCATCATTATCAAATACAATACGGAATGCAAACGTTGAAGCGTAAACAGTCCGGTTTCACCGATCTCATACGAAACAGTTACGGGTTTTCACAAAAACGAGCGCCCGTGCACGCGCCGATGACGTTTGCTTTTCGTAATTCCGCTGCTCGAGTTTGTTTAATTAACTGTAAGCCGGAATCGCACTTTAAAAAAACAACCAAAAACGGTATTTAAAATATTAACGAGGTGACAAATTTAGATCGAATAATGAGTCGAGTAAATATACACGCGCGCCGCCCGCCCGGGTCGACGCGGCCGTCTCGATGCTGCCTATACACACATAACGGAACATGGCAAAATTGAACAAGTACTCGCCACTTTTGGGAACCGATTTAGAAATCGTGATATCGATTTTCTGATTCCTTTATTTTTATAAATCCCTCGTTTTATAGTCCATGAACTTTTTATAGTATTTTGTACAAATTTATCACAATTAATATTATTCTCCTGTAATATTCTCATTAAGAAGAGTAAGTGTGTTGTTACCTTAGGACACTTTTTTTTCCCCACTTATGCAGATAGCCTTAAGGGGCTATTTCAGCTTCACCCTATCGTGTAGGTGAGCTCACGGGGCTCAAACCGGAAGTGTTGCTAACACTGGCCCCAGGAAGAGCAGTGCTTCGTAGAATCTACCACCGGATCGGAAACGCGACCCACTGAGAAGACCATTGAGAAGACCTATAGTCTGATGGACCGATGACATGGTCACGACGGCATCGCGGACGTGGATGAGAATGGAAAATGGGCGATGGAACATTATGGCATAAAAGGGGGATGCCTATGCCCAGCAGTGGGTATCAAAGGACTGAAGATATATGCAGGTTTGTGCTCGACAAAAGAAAATATTATACAAAATTGTAAATAAATACTAATTAATCTCGTTGCCTACTAAGAACCGTTCATACAAAAAATTACCTTTAGTTCCAAGAACTATGTACATTGAGACTTGTATAGTCACTTGAAATTTCGTTAAGAATCAACAGTTAAATGCGAACACATCTTTGTTCATGCTTTTCTAAAAATCACATTCGAACAAATCCCATATATAAAATAGACTATTGTATTTAAGTTACTGCGTACCTCTAAAGGCGTTTTGGATTAAGAACAAAGACCACACGAGTTTCATTTAAGTTTTACTGCATGTCATTTACAGAGGACTATGGAAGATTCTGTGGAGTATTCGATTTGCGGCCTCAAATGTGCCGTTTGAGGGAGAACGTTTCTCCGGTACGGATGTACAGAGGGACCGCGAGATGTGCCAAGAATTAATAAGAAGGGAACTGTTTCATAGATATATTCGCCGTTGTCTCTTTAAGTTGTTTGAAATTGCTTTGTCTAGATTTTAATGTAGATTCATGTGCCGCCAGTTGTTTTTAAGTTCAGTTTTCGACAAACGGTTCGAAGGAAAATAAACTGTCAAGAATTGTTTCAGTAATTTATTGACTGATTGACTCGGTGGTGCAGTGGTTAGCGCACCTCACTGCCGCGCCTAGGGTCGTGTGTTCGATTCCCACATCAGGTAAATATTGTGAGATGATTTTTTTATTGCCTTTGTAGGTAGACGAGCATACGGCCCACCTGGTGGTAAGTGGTCACCGTCGCTCATGGACGTCAGCAATGCCAGGGGCAGAGCCAAGCCGCTGCCTACCATTACTTGAATAGGTTTACTTACTATTGAATAGGTTTGATTGCTCTTTATTTGTATATATTTAAAAGTATATGTCAGTCTCTGGCATCCATAAAATAGGGAATCCTAATTTGGGGCCGGATGACATGATTATCTTTCTTACTATATTTATTACAAGCGGCCCGCTCCGGCTTCGCTCGGGTCTTTAACAAAAATTTCAACGATATTTGACGTTGTTTTATTTTTTTAAATAAAAATAAACACTTATTGCGGCATAACTATAATAGTTTGATATATGCTGTCGCGACACTTTTTGTATATAATAATGTGTTCTACAAAGTCGTAGTACATTATTTTATTCTATTATCAATAGTTTTCGCAGGACACGCGATGTTAAGAATATTTTAGGCAATTTTTTTACACCTTGGGTTACATTATTGGAGTTTTAGTAAGGATCTCAAATTTTTTTCAAAAGAGATTATAGTCTATGTCATTCGGGAATAGTGTAGCTTCCAAACAGTAAAATAATTTATCAAAGCGGTTTCGGAGCCTATTCAATACAAACAAACAAACAAATCTTTCCTCTTAATAATATTAGTGTAGATGTAGAAGTGTAGATAAATGATCATTAAAATATGTACACTGAAATGTGACTGCACTCTTTTAATTGCTAACCAAAAGCCACTTCGATATATCACATCATAAGTATTTCTACTTTTCATGCCACCATTGATTCTATATAATCAGTCAGCATAATTTAAGTTGTGTTCCGTAAATTCTTCAGTAATTTCATAACTGAACAGCAACTTAATACTAGTTCAACGGAACATACTTAAATTAACAACAGCCTTTTAGTCTGCCAGCGACATACTAAATGACAGCTAGAACGGGAAGCAATGTCGTTTACTTAACTGGACTCCACCATTTCGGTGCACAGAAGCGCGGATTGGGACCAAGCTAGACTGCTGTCTTAAAACTACAGTTCTAATGTGCGTCCGTGGCTAGTCTCACATCCGTTATTATCAACACTAGATGATGTCCGAGCTTTGCTGTATTTTTCGAGCGGTTTTTTTTATTATAAATTGTGTTTTTTTTTATTGCTTAGATGGGTGGACGAGCTCACAGCCCACCTGGTGTTAAGTGGTTACTGGAACCCATAGACATCTTCAACGTAAATGCGCCACCCACCTTGAGATATAAGTTCTAAGGTCTCAAGTATAGTTACAACGGTTGCCCCGCCCTTCAAACCGAAACGCATTACTGCTTCACGGCAGAAATAGGCAGGGTACCTAACCGCGCGGACTCCCAAGAGGTCCTACCACCAGTAATTACGCAAATTATAATTTTGCGGGTTTGATTTTTATTACACGATGATATATTCCTTCACCGTGGAAGTCAACCGTGAACAATTGTTGAGTATGCATTTCATTAGATAAATTGGTACCCGCCTGCGGGATTCGAACACCGGTGCATCGCTCAACACGAATGCACCGGACGTCCTATCCTTTTAGGCCACGACGACTTCAAAAGACGACGTTTTTTAGAATTTATATTTAAATACGAATTACATTATTGATGAAATAATGAAATATTCCAATTTATTTTGTCCAACCTTAAACCAAACACTCA